AGTACTGAGTAGTATCAAGAACACGATACTTTTTCACAAGTACTGAGTAAATATCGCGAATGCCGAAAAGTATCGACGAGTTAAGAACTTTTTTAAGTAATTTTTTTTTTACGCAATAAATATTGTGGCAAACGTTCGAATATTAACTTCAATATCCAATAAGAATGATATTAAAATGAACATAAAGCTCATTTACTTCAATGCTGTCATAACTCAAAAAACTGAAAACCCGAGAAGCCTTTAAAGTTTTTAATTCAAATATCGTCACCCTCATGCCAGAAGCATGAATGTGCAAATTTATCAGTTTTGAGTTATTGGATTGACTTCGTCAACAAAACCGGGAATACCATGCCTACACGGAAAGTAAATATTTTACAATTTCATTTGCCCAAATGTAGAGCTAAGTCTCCCAAAAGAAAACTTTCGAACTTGATTTCCCAACATTTTCTTCTTTAAGGCATCCACACACCTATGCGATTCTGTCGCAACGAATCCGCACCGTTTTTGATGCTACCGACGTTACTGCTTCGAAAACGCAAGTACGCACACATCTGTGCGATTTTATCGCAGCAAAAACTGTCAATTTATAGACAAACAAAAAGTATATTTCAACAAAAATAAAATTCTTAACTTTTCTACATCAAATATATTTTGTTTTCTTACGTTCAATTTTGTTTTAATATTGTAAAATCCTTCTATCGATCTTTTTCGTTCTCAAAACGCGGCAGTCTGCGATTTCGACACGACCAAAAGTAGAACTGTGAATGTTCGAATAAATCGCTGCAGTAAAATCGTACAAGTGTGTGATTCCTCATTTACAACTATGGTCGGCATTGTTGTAATTTTTGTCGGAACAGATTCCCACCGACAGAATCGCGTAGGTGTGTGGATACCTTTTCACCAGGGGTTCCCAAACTTATTTCACCTCGGCACCCTTGTTGTGCTAAAAAAATTTCGCGGCACCCCTACTCTTCAAATGTCTACGAAAACAAGAAAACACAATGCAAACTTTATGCTCCTTTAGCTTTAATGTGAGGACTGAAATTATTTTAATGATTTCATTATTTCCTTTAAGTTTATTGGGAGCTTTGACAATTTTACCCTGAAATCATTTGCCGCTGAAAGCTTGCTTTTGTATTTGTTTTTAACCGACTTCACAAAAAGGATAAGGTTATCAATTCGTCGGAATATTTTTTTATTATTTTTTTTCTATGTATGTTACCGAATAACTTTGGACCACGTTAACCGATTACTATTAATTCTTTTTTAAAGGAAAGGTGTTACCTGACAGGTGGTCTAATTTGGTTTAAATCCGATCATTAGATCATGAATAGATTAACGATAATCTTAAATTCTTAGATGGGAATTGAAATCGGTTTTTTTTTTGCTTAAAACTTACTTGTTTATGTAAGCATTTGTTGAAAATGCAGTCTCACATAGAAATGTAAAAGTAAGTGCTGATCGAACGAATTTTTATTTGGTATTATGACGCTCATTCGATGAAGAATAGCGCTCTTGTGAATTTCGCTCGTTTAGATTGTTTACAATAGTATATTTTTCACCGCTGAGAAGTTTTGTTTACAAATCGAGCAAACTAAATAGTGTGCTTATAGGTTAGGTTAGGTTGATGTGGCAGTCGGTTCGAATTACCTACTCACTTAGACCTTTTTGAAGGTCCATTGTGATACCACTGCAGAACACGGGAACCTCTGTGACTAATCTTCAGAGAACCATTTCGAAGGTCTTATAAAGCGTAGGATTGGCTTTATTCCTACGCATGATAATTCCGTAAGAGAGCTAAAGAAGGGCCTACCTAAAAAGCCTGCTCTCCTCCTGGCCAGAGCTGGGCAGCTACAGAAGAAGTGCTCTACGGTTTCTTCCTCTTCCTCATCCCTGCAACTTCTACAATATTCGTGGGAGAATATTCCTAGTCTCGAAGAGTGCTTGCCAAATAGCCAATGACCGGTAACACAAGCCATAACCCTTGCAATATCCTCACTTGAGAGGCTGAGCAATTCTTTCGTCTTTTTCTTATCTATTTGTGGCCAAAGTAGCCTAGTTGTTCTACAAGTGCCCTCCTCTAGCCATGACCTCTTTGCCTCTTGGATCATGCTGTTTCGAAGTTCTCGTTTGCAGGTTGCCATGGGTATCCCAATTGTGCCTCTGTTTTCACATAGGGGGAGATTGGTACCTTTTCTGGCAAGCTCATCGGCCCTGCAATTTCCTTCAATATCTCTATGTCCCGGAACCCAAATTAGGCTGACCTTGAACACGGCGCTGATATCGTTTAGAGCTGCTAGACATTCCTGCGCAACCTTCGATCTCAGCATTACCATGTTCATTAATTTAATGGCCGCCTGGCTGTCCGAGAAAATATTAATCGTAGTCCTCGTTACGACATGCGTACTAAGGTACACAGCCACCTCCTTTATAGCTAAAACCTCTGCCTGATAAACACTGCAGTGGTCCGGAATTCGGACGGATAATTCTAGTCCTAGTTCCTTGGAGAAAACTCCGTAGCCAACCCTATTGTCTAGCTTGGATCCATCCGTATAAAAATTCAGTTCCCACCTTCTCCATGGTCTTGGTGTTTGCCATTCTCTTCTTGACGGGATGCTCGTCTTGAAGAGCCTATCGAAGGTTGGTTTAGGGGCGGAGTAGTCAACTTCTTGTTCATGACTACCCAGAGTGTGAAGTATAGAGGCGTGACCGAACCGCCGATCCTTCCATAGCACCATGCTTTTTAGTCTGAGCGCTGAATCGGCGGCCGCGTATTTTCCCACCAGGTTTAATGCGGGCAGATTGGTTACCACCTCTAGCGCTTTATTTGGGGTGGTCCTTAAGGCGCCTGAAATGCATAAAAACGCTGTTCTTTGGACCTTACTCAATAGTTTTAGGTAACTTGACNTCGGCGGCCGCGTATTTTCCCACTAGGTTTAATGCGGGCAGATTGGTTACCACCTCTAGCGCTTTATTTGGGGTGGTCCTTAAGGCGCCTGAAATGCATAAAAACGCTGTTCTTTGGACCTTACTCAATAGCTTTAGGTAACTTGACATTTGAGTTGCTGGCCACCATACGAGTATTCCATATAATAATATTGGCCTGACCACCGAGGTGTAAAGCCAATGTGTAATACGAGGTGTTAGCCCCCACTTGATTCCGACCGCTTGTTTGCAAGTATGTAGTGCAACGTTGGCCTTCTTTACTCTTTCCTCTATATTAGGTTTCCACGTAAATTTCCTGTCTAGATACTTAACATTCTCGTTCAAAGATATCTCCACACCCATAAAGATTAGCGATGAGACTGTGGGAAGCCTATGTTTCCTTGTAAAGAGAATTGCTTCAGTTTTTTCGGGGTTTATTCCGAGCCCCCTACTCTCTGTCCAGTTCCTAAGCGTGGCCATGTTAGAGCGCAAAATCTCCATTAGGGTATTAGGGTATTTACCTTTAACGGCAATTGCCAGATCGTCAGCATATGCAGTGACGTGGCAGCCCCCCCCNCCGCATATGCAGTGACGTGGCAGCCCCCCCCCACCCTCTCTAGTTTCTTCAGCAGAGAATTTACTGCCAAATTCCTGAGAAGATGGGAGAGAACCCCTCCCTGAGGAGTGCCTCTACAGACCTCTCTGCTTATTGTGGTGTTGCCAAGCTTAGCGGTTATCTTCCTGCTGACAAGTATAGACTCAATCAGCGCCGCTACGTTGTGGTCAACTCCAAGCTCTTCTAAGGCACCCGTTATGGCGCTTGCTTTAATGTTGTTGAAGGCGCCTTCTATATCAACAAAGGCAACCAGAGTATACTCTTTATCAGATAAACTTTTTTCCACCAACCCGACGAGCGAATGCAAGGCGGTCTCCGTAGATTTGCCCTTCGTATAGGCATGCTGCGCTGGAGAGAGCCTACTAGTTGGTATCACGCCCCGTACATAATCGTCCACTATCCTCTCTAAAATTTTGAGCAAAAAAGACGTAAGACTGATGGGTCTGAAGTCCTTGGGGTTGATGTGATAGGACCTACCTTATAGGCTTCCCAGTCCTCTGTTGTTCTCGTGGCTTTGGCCTTATTGAACATTGTCCTATTGGATTCACGTAACGAGGATAATTATTTTGACCACCAAGGTGGCTTGTTTTTCCCCCTGTATCTAACAACCGGGCATCCGGCTGACAAAGAACTATTCATGGCTTTAGTGCCCTGATTAACCAACCCGTCCAATTCCACCCGCGTGGCGGGGTCCCGGGGAGGTATCTTTGGCAATAAAGTCCTCAGTTTTTTGTTGTAAACCCTCTAGTCGGTATTACGCACATTTCTGAACTACCTAACTTGGGGGGTCTTAAGATCTATTTCGAATTGAATATAACAATGGTCAGAGTAAGACTTTTCACTAAGTACTCTCCATCTCTTGATTTTATGGACAAACGAGTCCGAAGTCAGGGTTATGTCCAAAACTTCCTCTCTACTCTTTGTTATAAAGGTCGGCTCTGAGCCTAAATTCAAGACACTAAGTTTATTTCCCAGAATGAAGTCTAGTATCGACTCACCTCTAGCGGTCGTGTCCGTACTCCCCCACATGGAATTGTGAGCATTAGCGTCGCAGGAGACAACCAGTTGTTTTTTCTTATAGGCTGCTTCCTTGACTAACGTCCGAAGCTACTCTGGTGGTGCGTCCTTGTCATGGGCCATGTAGGCAGAGGCTACCCAGAAGCTGGTTTTATCCAGTTCTATGCTTGCCGCTACCAAATCGCCGTCACT